TTCGCCCTGAAAGCTAACGAGGCCGACAAAATCGGAGTGGACTCCTCTTCGTTTCCAGTAAAGGGAAAAGCGACCGGGTTCAGAATTTAAAGCCTGATTTCTCTGGCCCTTTTCCTTTGCACGCCGGCCCCTATCATACTTGTCCCTGACCCGGGCCCCACGACCCTCGTAAAGCAGCGCTGGAGAGTGTGGGGACCTAGACTGGGCCCAGCTCTGCCCCGTGCCACCTGCATGCCCCTGGCAGTGGGACCATGCCCAGAGTGCAGCTGCGTGGGGATCTCCTGGGCAATAGTGTTACGGGCACAGCCCAGAGCCTGGATCTAGGCGGAGCCCGGGAGGGGTGGCGCCCGTCACCCCCAACCGCCCCTGTCTCCTCTGCTCTCCCCGTTCACCGGGCCCTACTCGCTGCCCAGAGCCTGGCCTCACCCCTGCCCATGGCAGGTCCACCCTGCTAGCCCCCCCCAGGGAGGGTGCCCACAGTCTCTTCTTCCCCAAACGTTTCCCAAACTGCTCTCTAACCTTTCCCCGCCCGCTCCACCCCAGGGAAGACCCCTACTCTCCAAGTCCGCTGGATCTAAATCGTTCTCGGAGCTACTTCCAACTCCAAGTTTATAACCAAATAACTATGACACATTCAACTTAAATTACGTTCGCTTATCTAGCTCGGGGCCAGAGAGGGCTGTGAGAACATCAAATTTCGACATGTCCAAAACCCTGGATCCTTGAGTTCTGTGGTTTCCAGCAATCTCTGGAGCTAAATGATTAATTATACTCAAGACCGTCCAAAGCAATTATTTAATTAAGTGTGTTGCAGGCTGCCAGTTGTTTGCAGCAAAGGGAAGCTTTCGCCCCAGTTTCTCAACATCTGGCCTTTGGATGACTTCAAAGATAAAAGCAGATATGAGAACATTTCTATGGCTAAGTCACATTTTCTAGAAATTTTCCATTAAGTGGGAAAACATTTTCAGTAGTTTGCTTCTCATGATGAGACCTTGGTGATGTTTTACTGTAAGTGTTCCGCGAATTAAAATCCAATGAAAATGGAAAACGCTGTCATGCAAAGTGAATGTTGGCGCCATTTTCGTTCTAGGCCGGGAGCTTCGGTTTTCTAACAGATCCATTTTTTTTTTTCCCTTCAGGTGTGTTCATTTTCCATGTTCCCCGGCCTATTTTGTCAAGTTCTCTTTCTTAACTGGGGCTTTTAAAAATCAACTTGATTAAATGAAAATCCCCTGGGAGTCCTTCTGAACTAGAAATCTAAGTTTTATTGTGTAAAGAGCTTTTTTTGAGGAAAAAGAGTGCAGGCTCCCCCGGAGAGGACAACCAGGTCCTGTCCAAGGATCTACTTTAAGGGACACGGAGACGCCGGTTGGGCTGTGATGGGAGGCAGGGAACGCGGACGGCAGAAATGCTGATTTTTAGTCCATCTGTGGGGTTTGGAAATAGCCCCAAACTCTTCAGTGACCGCAAACCACCTTGGATCCCCCCTCTCTCAATGGCCAAATGCTGTGGGTGCCGGCGACACCCAGCCTGGCTCCCCGATGGCTCCGATCATCCCCCGTGTCCCGGTGCCGACTCCTCCATTAGGGTGCGGGCTTCGCGGGCACCGTCTGTTTCCCCCGGCGCCCAGCGCACTTCACAAAGCAGGGCTGGCGGAGCGGACGGTTGACCAATTAGGAATTGACCGGCGCGCGTGTGAGCGCCAGTGTGCTCAAAATAACTGCTTTACTGCTCCGAGCCCCTTTTTCCCGTACTATATGAGCAATGAAACACTGTCATTCTACTCTAATTTAAGAATGATTGAATCGGCACCTATATATGGGCCCTCAACGGGCACGGGGTCGATGAACGACGGAAATAAATGAGCAATAATGAATGACATACAAGCTCCCTCCTTTGGAAACAAGTTCAGGTCGTCTGAAGGAAAGCAACAGAGCACCCAACTTATTAAACTAGTTAAGGATTAAGCTGTCCTCCCGTCTGTGGGCTGCTGCCGTATAAATTATTAGAACTAATGCCCTAAACCTGGAGCCCATCTACCTCAGCCATGGTCCTGAACTCCTGACTTATCTGCAAAACATTACGCACATGTGTAAATGTGAATTATTTCTGGGGAGAGTGTGAGGCTCACGCATCAAAATAGGTTAAGGGTCCCTGCGCTGGAAGTGTCTGCTTACTCAGCAATATATATTTGAGAAGTAAAAATTAAAAATTATATAAAGACTAAACGTAGTCTATTCTTTCCCCAAAATTATTTGAAACAAAAAAATTTTTCAGACTCGCTTTTCAAAAGACGTGTGAAATAAATCGGTGTGAACCTGCGTCGCAGGAAAGTCCTTCCCGATGAAGCCCGAGCGTGGAAATACATCGGCACTTCTCCTCCCATCCTGTCTCATTAAGAGCCGGGTCTCGGCCACAAACAAGAAGCTGCCCCCGAAAGTTATATATGTTTTTTCTTATTTCTTTTTCGACAGGGGACTTATTGCATTTGAAAATAAAAGCTACATCTTAGAGCCAATGGAAAACGTAACTGACAGATACAAGCTCTTCCCGGCGGAGGCCCTGAAAGGCGTCTGGGGATCGTGTGGGTCGCGTCTCAACACCTCCAGCCCCGCAGTGGACGGTGGACTCCCGCCGCCCTCCCAGACGTGGGCGAGAAGGGTAGGAGGGCAATGCGATGTTCTGTTTCTGGGGACCCGCGGCTCGAGCTAGGGACACCCAGTGCTGAAAGTGTGGGGACAGTTATCCACCCGGGGGTTGTGTCTGGGGGGCGGAGTCACCAGTTCTCCCGGAGCTGGTGCGTGTCCCGTGGGCAGAGCGGAATCCAGCGCTGAACCCCCATCCTCGCCTCGCCAGGGTCGGCCTCAGGCCTGCTCACCTGCGCTGGCAAAGTCATGCTGGGAGGGCGACAGGGCCGCCACTGGTCGCGTCTTCAGTGAGGACCCGCAGTGGCCTCGACGCAGGGCGGTGCCCGCCGTGGTAGATAAGACATGAGTGGACCCTGACGCGCGGCTCTCAGCCCCCCTCCTGCTGGAGGAGGCGATTCGGAGGTTCCTTTGTGTCCGGTGTGTTTCGCAGTTGGGGTCTTCGAGGCGACCTGCAGAACGCTCCCAGTCTGTGCCCACGTGCTGGTGCAGAGGTGACTTGGGTGTGTCCGCGGGACGTGGCTAAGGGGTGTCGCTTCCCCTGTCCACGCAGCCGGTGCCGGTCCTACTGACCTCCGGGGACTGTCCAAGTGGCCCGGTTTTCTGGTCACCCGTCCCTGAGTCCGCTTCCCGCAGGCCTTCCCTCCTACTGACTGGAAGGATCTCTCTCCCGGCCCAGTGGACAGAAACAGGAACCCCGCACCCCAAGGGGCCACGCCCTAGGACCTCCCCAAACGGCCGCTGACCCCCTCGCACCCCGTGCCCCCTGGGCTCCACAGACCGCGGGAACACTCGAGGGGGGAAGGCAGCATCCCCGTGTCTGTCCAGAGGCCCTGAATTGAAATGAGCAGAACCAGGTAGGAAATCAGCAGCGATTTCCCGATTTCTCATCTTGGCTTTCCCGTCGCTCTGTTGACCAGAAATCGAGAATTCCCCGACGCGAGGTCACTGTACTTACGCCCGGTGCAGCCGGGGCACGTTCTTCAGGTTCCGCCGAACGCGCCTCGTGACCTCGCGAGTCATGCTAACGGTCAACGTTTCTTCCATATGATTCTTTCGTTCATTCGACTTATTTTTCTAAATTCAAGCAGTTCGACGCCCTCCTAACCGACGTCTTCTCATCCTTGAATTTCCCTCACACCTGTGGGGAGCGTGTGTCCCCCTCGCCTGCTGTCAGCGGGACCCTTTCGGGACTTTCCACTTGAACTTCACGTTCATTCTTCCTGCCCCGGGGCCTTCCTGTGGGACCCTAACTCCCTGTGGGTTACTCTGCTCCCGAGGTTTTCTGTGGCAGAAAAAGGACCTTGTTTCCTTCCCTTGCCTGTCACGCGGAAGGGGGAGATGGCTCCGTCGGGGACCGTGGCTCACCTCGACGTCGATACCCAGCTGGGGAGCTTGTGTCTGAATCCCCGAGCTGG